CAATTTGAACACTTCTTCATCAGTCACCTATTTAGTCAAAGGATAACTTAAGAATGTGTTGTCATATAACACATTGAGAATTGAGAGGTCTGTGAGTTACAACCTAAAAATATCTATACTGCATTGGAGGCAATTCTGCTTCAGATGTTAGATAGAGCTTCTAAATTAGAAAGCTTTGGTCCAATCGGGATCAAGGAGCATTCACACTCCAACAGCGTCAATATACAGCTGGCAATAGTTATAAATACTGCTTTGTTTATGAGTGCAGCTAACAAAGCCAATATAGTCAATCAGAAGGCTGCGAAAGAGAGAATGTGTCCGGAGGAGGGAATGTTGACAAGCCATAGTTAATGTAGAGTGCGCTCGGCAGCTGACAGTGGGGAATTGGCTGGGGAGAGTACACAGACATTATCAACACGTTTAGGGGAAGGCTTTAATAAGTTGCTCCTTGGGGCTACTTCCTGCTCCTTAATTATTATTGAATTAGGAATGCCACAAAGCTAATTAAAAGTGCAAGGTATTTACTGTGGCAGCAGAAGAATGAAAGGGAGTAGAGGAGCAAGTGAAATGAAAAAAAAAAGGGATAAAGCTGAGATGCAAGCTGGGTATTTGAATTGTTTTAAATGCATTATAATGCTGGAACATAAAGCTACAATTCTGTATTCTTGCTGCATTGGACTAAAATATAAAACATTGATAAAACCTCTGGAGCAATGCTTCCTTGCTAAAGTTAAAAGGGAACAGAAAATATAAAACTGGGAAAATATACTGTAAGAAAAGTGTCTATTTGGGCTTAAAAATGGCAGGTCTAATGCCTCCTCTTGCTGAAGCTGTGCTCTGGGTGTCTAATGTGTCCACTGTGTGATATATAAGGGAAGTAGAACATGAGTTTTGTTTTTGCAGTCATTCTTGATTGGAAATGTCATGTTCTTTTATTGAACGACAAGGAATACAAGTGTGCCGATGAATGTGAACGAGTCACAATGAATGAAGTGGTTGTTTTAAAATAATTGAGGGTCTCTTTTTCTTCGAATGTAATGAAATGCCGGAATCTTCTCTCCTGTTCTACTCTCTGGGGCTTCTTACTTCCTCTGCAAAAACAATTGAATACAATCACCAATGCCGTATAAATTAACAAGTGTTTTAATACTGTTATACTAAGCCAAACTTTTAAATGTAATCAGACAGAGATGCCTTATGCTCGATTGGCACAAACTGCAAGACTAACACAAACCATCCCAGCAGAGTGTGGAAGTTTCTTATTTTGAACAAATGTTGTGTTCTTTCCACAAGTTAATTACTCAGTAGAGAGCTTAATCTGCCGAATCAGGGCAAAGTGGATTAGGAGATGAGAGCGTTTAATCAAAGTGTTCTCTTCGTCTAATTACACATCCCATTTCCTGACACAACACACACACTGTTATCTGCCACTGGATTTAAACATCAGTGCCTGTGTTTAGCTGCTCCCCCAAGAGTGAGTGATCCTGCCGCCTGCATGTCACTAAATGATGGAAACATTAATACATGCATGCATACTCAAACTCAAGGGACACACACATACATGCAGAGAATGAACACCATGATATACTCGTCCTATACATATTGAAATAAATAATCTGAGGCTTTGTGGTTTCACTGCAGTGTAGAGCAGAACTCTAATGGAGCCTAATCACACATCACAGGCATCACTTATACCAGTGGGGATTAAAGATTCCTCTTGGGTTTAGTCTCATCCGTGTATCAACTTTAGATGTTGTGTTTGCCTGCATGAAAGACGATGAGAGCTGCACTGGAGTGGTGAAAATAGCAGTAAGAGTGTCAGAGGTGTGAGTTCACACATAGTGAGGGACTTCTCGCATTGCGTTACACGTTTCAGTTCCCCACCCGGCATACTGGTCTATGATTGGGGGAGAAGAGCAGGTGTAGTCTTTGATCAAGTATCCATAGTGTTTGGATATGTTCCCTCATCTCTCTGATAAGAAATAATGAAAATGCATTACGACTCTTAGTCTAAAGGGGAATTATATTCAAAGTAAATATATGTAGTTCCTATGGTCTTAGACAGTCCTTAATATAAGTAAAAATAAACATGCCTCATAATCAATTTTAATCACGTGCATTCACATGACAGGAAGTAAAACAGCTCTTCGCAATTTTGTTTCTACAGATGGAGAGAGCCGTGCCGCTACAACACCGCTAGCGCACAACAATTGTTGTCAAAGTTCACATTATTTCAACTTTGACCTCGTTACCACTGACCTTTTGACGCGCAACCAATCAGATAACAGCTGTGTGTGGCAGAGCAAGCTAGCAGGGGAGGTAACCATAGAAACAAAACTTAACTGACTGTTTTCAACGCAATGGCCAACCCTGCGGTGAGCAAAGAAAAAAAAAGAAATCACGTGAATGCCGCTCAACTTACCTTCCTGCTGAAAAGCTAAGCTGATGAATAGCACCCGCGGAAGTATATGGACCATGATAATTGGGCTGTGCCATTCTCATGAAAGCCATTGGGGGGTTAACAGGAGATACTTCACCCAAGCTACTTTTCTTTTATACAAGAAATGTCTTCTCTCCCCTGCACTTGACTCCAGGCTGGCCAACATGATTATAAAATCATGCAGTTGGGAGAGGAAGTACGAACCTCTTGGTCAAAGGAGCACTAAAACTCTTTTTTTTAAGTCATCTGTTAATTAAGTCAGGCTTTTGTTACCCATCCTAAAGACTGACTAACTGTAACTAATTTAATAAAATCCTTATTTTTTCTCAAACTTTCCCCGCTATCCAAGTTTTATTTGCACCCACGTCCTTAGCAATTAAAGTCTTGAACTTCTCCATAGACAATTAATTAGGAAATATGTAATGAATGACACTGAGGTAACCCAGGGGAAAGATCCTTGTGTGCACATGTCAGTCAATTACTTCTTACACACACTGGCTCTTGGTGTCATCTCACACAACCTGCTCACATGAACCCTGCACCGTTACATCATAGCCAAGACTAAGCCAAACAACTTCCACGGCAACTGATCCTGACCAATCAGAGTGGCTGTGGAAACCTGATCACTGGGCTCTCGAGTCATGCCGTTTGGCAGGTGCTCATTTATGTTCATCAAATGTGTGGTACCATAATGGTCTAATGAAGTATAGAGGAATGCATGTCGTTTTTGAATATGATTAAACCGCCCCCATTGTGCCCTGAAAGCACAATTTACCAATTCTTTATTCTTTGCACAATCCTTGCACTGAACCTTGAGATGAGAAAATAGGTATTTTCAATCTACAGTTTATTCAAATCAAGGGTAAAAGCGGTATCAGCATTGAAATTGCTGCCGGGTTACTCTATTAATCCAGCATGATGGAGGATAAGTAATCTTGAAGTTTTTGTGAAGAAACATGTGGGTGTTTGTAGTGGAAAGAATCTAAAGCTATTCACTATCATGTCACATCCTCTACTCACAGAACACACACGCAAACATTGCGGCTCGATCGAGTGTCTCTGTGGATCAGAGAGCCTCCCGGACGGGGACATCTGCTGAGCTAATAAACAATAATTTTGACAAATTGTTACGGTCCGATCACTCAGCCACCCTCATAATCGCACCACTGAAAAAGCCATCAGATGCTGAGTAAGGACATGACTGACAGCTCTCTGGGCCAGTGGAAGGCATTTCTGGACTGAAGCCCAGCTGCCTGAGGAGAGGACACAAAGATTCATAGCCAGAGGGCAACCTGGACAGAGTGGTTAGGGAAATTAGCAACGCCACCCACCAACACATGCATGTCATTTGATGGTTGGAACTCAAGCTGACTAGATAAAGAGATGGCCTTCTGCCAGGGGCTGTTTAGTACCGTTGGACAACATGTCAAACTAGGCAACTATGAGGGCAATGGTGCCATGGCGATGATGAAGGCTCAGTGGGAGGCTGTAACCTCTTCTGGCTGCAGTACAAAACACACAGCTAAGATGATGATGATGATGGTGTGAAGCTGAAGGTGGTTGTGACTGGGATAGTGTCAATGATTGAGGCTTGGCAGTGTATTTAAACTTTCGTGAACCCGGAACATTTTTGAAAAAGCCATAATAGGTTGTCTGTGCCTGAGCCAAGCAACTCTGAGGGTGTAGACAGGGATAAACTCCATGACTCAGACTCACAGTTCTGACAGACCGGCTGAGTGTAAAAGGTCATGTGATAAAAAAACAAACTTCGAGAAAAATCAATCCAATATAAAGGATTTTAATTCCAAGCCACTGACAACCTGAGAGATGATGAAAAGCCAGACATCTTCAAATTGCCTTGTCAATCACGGCAACCAACAAAAATGACAAAAATAAATAAACACCAAGGGGGTATAATAGATCCAGGGGGAATCTACTACAACTGTGTTCCTATTGTAACCCCAACAGCAGTGCGACATGACCTGTAAGCAAGTTTATGAAAGTAATAGATGTAAAATTCTATGATGACATAGATGAGAAACTCTTGCAGCAAGACATCAAAAACGGTAAATGAAGGATTGAAAACATCCCAGGTTTCTTTTGTTCCAGCTGTATATTTATAAAGAATTCACTCAGATGACCAGACTCTCATCACATAGACAGACCACACACACACACACACACACACACACACACACACACACACACACACACACACACACACACACACACACACACACACCCTCTCTCAAACACAACACACACACACACACACACACACACACACACACACACACACACACACACACACACACACACACACACACACACACACACACACACACACACACACACACACACACACACATCACTGTGTTTTTTTATGAAATCTCTGTTTCCTTGTTGTTTTCACTTTCTCAGTTTATATTCAAGAGGGATACAAGGACAGACCATTTCTGTGCAGTAAACAAAGCAATCCACAAAGACAGCTTTACTTTACTTCCTTGAACACAAGGTAGGTGCAGCAAATACAACATGCTGGCACTCCATAGAGACTCACCGACTGGCGTATCTTCATAGATGAGTAGGTAGGTCGAGAAGAAGTAGTTCAGGAAGCGTGGTGGCTGGTTGGAGCCTGGGATAAAGAGAGGGAAGAATGGTGATTACAATTATGTTCGAGGACTATTCATTTAGGTTATTGCTTTGATAATAATATTCAAGTGAAACAGTTCAATTTTCATGTAAATAATCTCTACTTTGTCAAATGTATGTCCATTGATTCAAAGTATAGCCTGATAGCTTACTCTTACTTACTATCCTGAGAGCTTTGACAAATGTTGGTTTTGCTCTTTCACATTCTCAGAAGCAGCAGCAGCAGTTTGAGTTATATGATACAGTAGAGCTGTGTACTCTAGCAGCATTTGTCAAGTGATCTTTAGGAAGTATAGGAGAAAAAAAACTACTCCAATAAACACTTAAACTGAAAAATGCACTGATGCTGCTGCCACTGCAGACAGCCTTGTTCTTTTGTTTCATACAGACAGTTTCCACACTGCTTCCCAGGGAAAGCATGCCCCCCCCTCCCCCTCTACCAGGAGGCTGTAGCAAATGTATTCAGTGCATAAAAACTGTACGATTGGCAGGGGCAAACTGCCCCAAAAGTGCATGACATATGGGAACATTTGAAGGAAACGATATAAACATATTTATATCTTGGATTTACACACCTCTGATCAGGAGTGGCTAATGTAAGTTTGGCAGCTTAACTTTTTTGAGAATACCATTACATTACATTACATTGCATTTAGCTGACGCTTTTATCCAAAGCGAGTTACAATAAGTACATTCGACCAGGAAGATACAACCTTGAAGAAAACAGAATCATATAAGTACATCAGGTTTCATAGAGCCAAACATTTCAAGTGCTACTCAACTGGCTTTAGATAAGCCAGTCCTTCATTAGTATATAAGTGCTTTGTTAGTAATTCTATCGCTCGAAGTGGAGACGAAATAGATGAGTTTTCAGTCTGCGCCGGAAGATGTGCAAGCTATCTGCTGTCCTGATTTCAATGGGGAGCTCATTCCACCATTTTGGAGCCAGGATAGCAAACCCACGTGTTTTTGCTGATGGGAACTTGGGTCGCCCTCGCAGTGCGGGTGCAGCGAGCCGTTTGGCTGATGCAGAGCAGAGTGCACGCGCTGGGGTGTATGGTTTAACCATGTCCTGGATGTAGGAAGGACCAGATCCATTCGCAGCATGGTATGCAAGTACCAGTGTCTTGAAGTGGATTCTAGCAGTACCGACCTTGGTTTATTTCTCCTGTGGTCCATTGGTGTTTTTGCCATTTGTTAACGCAGGCAACTCTTTAAAGCAACTTATGTCAGCTGTCCAAGCTGGTGTGTATCTACTGTAGTGTGTGTACCTCTGTATTACTGATATTTTACTGCATAAGGGGTCCATGGCTCTGAGTATTCTTAGGAAACCGTCTGAATTCTAGGTTTAGAAGCAGCTGATTTTATTTGCTGATAATCCTCATCCTAAACTACTCTTAAATCAGAGGCAAACATTTACTAAATGTGAAGAAAAAAGAAGAAAAAAAGAGTAAGCTGCCTGTCCATTATACATGTAGGTGATGAGGAAATGCTTACATGCTGTCAGAAGATGTTCAAGTTCACCATTTGCTAAAGCATTCCTTGAATCACCCAGGGTTATTGTTTTGTACAGCAGCCTTTAATGGCCAGTCTGTAGCCAGGTGTCATTAACTGTTCATCTACTGTAACTTAGTGTGAGCAACACACACACTAAGAGTTAGACCACTTAGCTATTTTATCTACCTCTGGAACAAGCTAAACTAGTTATAATAGTCTTCACTGTCGGGTCACTCATTACTGGATCAGTGAGCTGCATGAGACGATACTGACGGGCTGTCAGGAGAGAGAGAGAGAGGGAGAGAGGAAAAGAGAGCGCTTCCGCTCATTTCTCCCGTGTTATTATCCAAAGTTAATGTAAACTTGAATAATGTACTTCATTTGAATGTAATAATTATGTTGGTTGTTGTTTGTGGAAGCGCATCATGTATTGAAAAATGTATCTGAACTTTTCGATCCGTTACGATTATAAACTGAAGCAATATAAAAATAAGCCCCATTAACTGAGTTTTAAACATCACTTTAAATGGAAGATCCCCATAACCCCCACCCACCCGATCGGAACGGCGATTGGTATCGGCCGATACTGATTCCGGCCCCAAAATACCCGATCGGAGCATCCCTAATATTTTTGGTTGGCAACACCCGTTAAGTGTTTCATGTACAGTATATTTGACTGTTTCTATGTTAGATGTTCCCTATGCAGTGCATCAAACAATCAGGAGAGGGACAGATACTCATGGGCGCGGGAAGGGGGGTGCTGAGGGCGCTGCAGCACCCCCTAGCGGCAGGCAGGGGGTGCAGAGCTTCCTCTGTCTGAATTATTATTTGACGGTTATTGCTGCTCCCGCTGTGCATAATCTGTGTAATATGTAGCCAATAAATTCCACATTGTTGGTAAAATAATATTTTGGCCTGCCTCGAATGTTTTTTCTGTAGCCCCGGACAATTCTACCTCAATAATATAATACATTAACCGTGCTTTACGTGAACCTCATCATGACACTAGAGAGGACGGCAGGACTGTAATTTCCCGTGTTCAGTGAATGCAACAGAGGCAAGACACCAGATCAATCAGAGAGTTGCATGGAAATAAAAGTGTGCTTGTGTCATTCAAGCTCGTATGTATGTATGTATGTATGTATGTATGTATGTATGTATGTATGTATGTATGTATGTATGTATGTATGTATGTATGTATGTATGTATGTGTGTGTGTGTGTGTGTGTGTGTGTGT